AAAATTACGTTCTATAATATCTGCAAGACCACATGCAAATACAAGTGTATTGGCAATATTGTTCTTGAGAGCTGCAAGGATTGCAAAAAATGCAAGAAGTAAATTATTAAAGGCTTCCCTTAAACTAACTGGATCTACAGAACATAAAAACAAACTTAATTTACGTGAAAAAAGTTCCTTTCCGGAAATCTCTTGAACATCTGGAATACCATTGCCATCTTCATCTAACATGTCATCCTTTAGGCTTGCCTCTCGCGCCAAAAGATAATTTTCATAAATGGTACCAATACTCTTTTTAATACTATCCCACGTGGTAAGATACACCACCTCCACTACAGCAATAAGCATAGCAAAACATCCGCCAAAGAAACAGACACAAAAACCAAAAAAAATCGGCCAAACATGCGCCAATTGATGTTTTTTCGCTGTTGAAAACCATTCTGCACCACTTTTATATATGCGCTCTCCAACTGGGTAAAATTTGTCCAGTACACTTAACCCTTTCACCATCATGGATTCTGTGAATTGTATTGCTTTGGCATACTCCGGGTACTTCGCCTCCATATTGGAAAGGAATTGCACCTGTGGTGATCTCTTCTTTGTTGCCTTCATTTTTTTTCTTCTTCTTCTTCTTCTTTTCCTTGTTGTATATATATAGAGAGAGAGATATATACAAGATATACCTCTGCACCCTTATGTTTGTATGTATGTATTACACTGTAACTATGCGTAAAAATATCGAAGAGGATGTTTATTTATATGAAATCCTTGGCTGCACTGTCACGCCTGTTAGCTCCACTTCACAGCGTTGCCTCGCCTCCTCTTCCTTCTTCTTCTTCTTACTTTTATTTGTTTGCCTGGGTCTCTTTTTCCCCTTTTTTTCTTGTCCTCTTCTTCGTCTCCCTCTCTCCATCCTTCTCTGCCAAACATGACAACAGCAACCAAAGAAAAAAAATAGGCAAAAAATAAAAACAAAAAAGAAATAAAGCCCACCTCGTCATGGTGACTGGAACTGGAGCCCTTTGGGATTGTATACCAAAACACTTGGCACATCGTCACATCCAGAAAGCGTTGACCTCGACACACGTTCATGCATGCGCCGCGCTGCATCCATAAAGTACTCTGTGTGATGTGTCGGCACCACAACTCCCACGGCTGCCACGCCCCACAGGTCCCTCCGTTCCAGAATGCGACGCATCACATGATACATCTGCACGTGAACAGGGATGAAGGCATCCACACGAAAAAACTCCATCGTCATCGTCACGCATTCCTCTCCCTTTGCAGCGGCGTTTGAAACACGAACAGACAACGGCAATGAAAGCGTGCCAAACAACGGCACCGTTTCCGTTTCACGGCCAATTTGGGGTGCAGAAGCAGCAGCAGACGGCATCTGGCCTCGTTGCCGCATGGCATGTATGTGCGCCTGCCACGGCATTTTCCAACTGTCGTGCTGCAACAGCGGCTGCTCCGCTGAAAAGCCGCATGGACGAATCCATAATTCCGGTGAGGTGGCCAGAGCAGCTGATGACTGCTGCGGTAACCGGCTGTGCTCACCCTGACGCGCCAGGATGCGGTCCACCTCCCTGAGCAGTGAAGAACGCACCTCCTGATGAAATTGCGGCAACGTCACGGAGCGGCTACTCCCAATGTCAAGAAGAACAGGGCAAAGTAGTTGGCGACGCGACAATGTCATTATGAAGCCAATTCGTGCATCCACACCTATGTACTTCCCTTGAATACCGTTTCTTTGTTGTTTTCTTTTTTTTTTTTTTTTAACCCCAATGAAAACACACGCAAATACCGATGGGCGTATATATATATACATATAGAGGCACATAATATAAACACAAATTTATTTTTTGTGTGTGAAATAAACGAATAGAAACACACACGCACACACGCACAATAAAAGAAAAAAAAAAAAGGAGTACAAACAAAGAGACATTAAATGTAATAATGTACATGAATAGTATTGGATCGATCGACCAATAATTATGGGATCCACAATCTCTCCTCCCCTCCCCACCCATACATACACGTGTAAAAAAATAAAATAAAATAAATTTTCTAAACTCGCAGGAAAAAAAAAAAAAAAAAAAAGAAAGAGACGGCGATCGCTTTAATTTTTCAATCAACCAACCGCTCCAACTCCTCAACTGGTAGTGGGGATGTGAAGGAGCCAACAAAAGGATGGATGACTTGAAGAAACTCCGCCACATCCACGCACATCTTGCAACCCACGTGGCCACCGCCCATCCAAAATAGCGGTGGAGAAAGCTGCGCAATGCGGTCGCTGATAATTACAGGAATCTCTTCAGTGGTGCCAAGTGGGGCCACTGCACCGTGACCGAAGCCCGTCAGCTGCAGCGCCTTCTGTGGGTCTGCCAGGCGAAAGTTGAACTTCTTCTTTCCCATTCCTTTGTTCATGTCCATTACAAATCGCATAATGAGCCGATCGTCAAATCTCTCTGTGTACGGGAACACAGCGATATAGTAGCGAGAGTTCTCGCGGTGGCTACAGTCTGTGTGGGTACAGTGCGTGTTCTCCAGCACGATGGACTTGCAAAGATGATAAATGGAAGGGGCCTCCAAAATATCACGTCGCCACTGCAGCGATTGCTGATAATAGTCCGATGGCACCCAGCGGAACCGCGCGCTAAAAAGTCCATGCTTCAGACACCACTTCCGTAGCGCCGCAACCTCCGGTGTGTCACGCGCACATGGCTGCAACTCCTGCAATTCTGAGGGATCGCGATATTGTGCCGCCACCGTTGGCGTTACAGTGGCAGCCGCTGCGGAGGGTGCATTCGGCGTGCCGTGAGACATGTGGCGTAGCTTCATAATGCTCCTCTCAATCTCCTGAAAGCGCGCGGCCAAGGATGCGAGACGTGTTTCAAGGCTCGTTGGCATGTCCCTTTCTTTTGATTGTTCTTCTTCCTTCATTCCTTTCAGAGTGACGGCGGGGAGCAGACAGCCGGCAGCCGCACTGGCGTTCACGTCGGTCCAAAAGAAAACTCACAGCACCCGCCACATTCATCATGCATTCATTCGTTTCTCTCCCTCTCTCTTCTTTTTTTTTTTTTTTCCTCTTTTTTCAACTAATGAAAACACCTAAAGGGGTGGGGATGGAATAGACAAATGACAAGCGCATGGGTGGAAAACTTACGGCGCAAGACGTTTCGGGTCTCGTGGAAAAAGTGAAATTTGCCGGATATCCTTCGCACCAAGCAGAAAGAGCACAATACGCTCCAGTCCAAGCCCAAAGCCACCGTGAGGCCAGGCGCCATACCGAAAGGCATCCACGTAGTCCTTCAGGCTCGCTGCGTCTACTTGAAGTCGCTCCATGTTCTGCAACAAAAGCGTTATGTCGTGAATGCGCTGCGCGCCGCTGCAGATCTCCTCGCCGCGAAGGTACATGTCAAAGCTGCATGTCGACTCTGTCTTATGTGGGTGCGGCAACGTGTAAAAGGGTCGCGCTGTGAGGGGGAACTGGTCGATAATGTAAACATCCACCCCATACCGCTCCCGCACCAACTCCCCGATGCGTCGTTCCTGCGGAAGACTGAAGTCTGTCGGAGGCTGATCCACCACATGGTGATCGAGAAGCAGCCGCACCGCGTCGTCAAAGGTGAGACGCAAGACTTTTGGCTGCCGCGGGTTCCGTCTCTGGGTGTCAATGCTGCCAACGCCAACGCGGCCGTGGTAGCAGTCGGTTGTCAAGTGAGCCTCCGTCGCGTCCGTTGTTAAACATCCAAAAGCGCCGAGAGTCTCCTCTGACAGCTCGCACACAATGGATGCCTCTTCCTTTTCCTGGTTCCGACCCAATGCGGAGGGACTCCCTTCCGCGGCATCCATGTCTGCCAGTGACTCCCGCGCCTGTCGTACCAGCGCCGCGTGATCCTCCTGAAGATGGTCAATCATGGCACAAACTGTCGACTCCAGTACATCAAGTACCTCCGTGTACGAATGCTCAATGACAAATTCGGCATCCAGGCCGACAAACTCCGTCAGGTGGCGGTGCGTGAGGCTCTTCTCCGCCCTAAATACAGGCCCAATCTCAAACACACGCATTGCATCACCCATCAAAACCATTTGCTTATACAGCTGCGGCGACTGAGCCAGGTAACCCCGCTGACCAAAGTAATCAATCGTAAACACCGCACTCCCACCCTCCGACGCAGCACCCAACATTTTTGGTGTGTGTATCTCCACAAAGTCACGGGCAAGCAGTTGTTTACGGAAGCACTGGCAGACGGCAGACACGAGGCGGAGCACCGATGCTGTCAGTGGTGTGCGCATGTCCACGACACGATGGTTCAGGCGCGTGTCCAGCCTCGTGTTGCAATCTTTTATGGGAAAAGGGAGCGGCGTGGCCGCCCTGCTAACCACATCGACACGCTCCGCGTGGAGTTCATAATTCTTGCAGCTGGCGGAAGTCACAGGCCGCTCCGCAGGCACAAGAGTGCCGGTCGCGTCAATGATGGACTCTGGCGTGAGCTCCTTCACCCGCCGCACGATGTCCGCGGCAGATGCCACCACCTGAATAGAGTGACAGGGCGGCTGGCGAAGGTGAATAAACGCGATCTTTCCGCGAACGCGTGTCGTCTCCACACGTCCGCGGATCCTCGTCGCCGGCTTCGCCGCGGTCGCCCCCAAAGAAGTAAGTGACGACAAGGATGTCCCTTGCCGAATTGTTGCGCGGCCAATAGCCGTCGCTGTAAAAGAGCCAGAGCAGTGACGCTGCAGCACCCACCGCTGGCGCCGCATGGATCCCTCAAACAAAAGCAAAAGTACAAAATAAAGAACTGGGCGAGAACTAAAGAAACAAAAGACGGCTGCAGCGCCCTGCACAAATCAGCCCCCACAAAAAAATAAGCGGCGATGCAAATACATATAG